ATGAACTTCTCAGAATATCCATTCTTATATAAAATATATCTTTCATGTTAACTTGTACTGTCAGAACTGTCAGTTCCTCGGGGGAAAACATCAGTGAGATATTAATGCAATGCATGAGGAATACGGTGGTGAAAAAAGAGCATTCCGTGCTGCTCAATTATGCTGCGTCTTCAAAACCACCGCTATTTTGCTTTCAAAAGAGTAAAAGATAATCTGCTTACTATCGACTAACCATGTGCATCGGTTGCACAGTGGTTAGGACTCCCGCCGTCCATGTAAGTGGTCTGGATTTCGATCCCCTGCCGATGCACACCTGATATCTATGGTTGGCCTGCAAAAATTTGGGCTACCGATATCATATGCTGAAAATTCCATACCTGTACCGAAAATACGGTTTGGAATCAAGCTGTAATTAAAATAAATAAAAAAGTAAATGTAATTGCCTCTTTAATTCTCTCCTATTTGTAATATATGGTGAAACTATTTAAATTTCTTTGTAATTTTAGTTATTACTGTTTTTTCTGATTATAGCTTGATTTCACACCGTGTTTTTCGTTCAGGTATGGAATTTTTAGCATGTTATATCGGTAGCCCAATTTTGCAGGCTACCCATTGATATTAGGTGTGCGTCGACAGGAGATAGAACCCTGGATCATGTACATGGTCGGTGAGAGTCCTAACCGCTGCACCACCAACTCACATAGTTATTATAATTTTGTACTCTTTGTGCATTTATGACTTTCAAAAGAATGTTTACTGAACAAAGAATATTCTTTTCGATAACCTGCTCTTCATCAGGCTCTACAGTTATATATACACATTATAGTGAATGAATGAATTAGTGTTATGAATAACATTAATGCTGTTTAAATAACATCGGATCAATAATAATAATAATATCAGTTGATTACAGTTCAGTAGCATCAACATAACACTACACGCTAACTATCAGAGAAATTAGGAAAGATAATAATACAAATTCATGAGTTTATAGTCTCCACTGAAGACTGGTCTGGGCAGTAACAGTGGCTGACTGTACTTGCTTCTTTTGCACACAAAGCACTGGTTGTCTCAGGCGAATCGCGATAGCTTCTGCTCTTTGGAGTATACGGTACATGGATATTTTAGATTATCTGTTTGGCAACCAGTAGTTGATGGAGAAGGACTCTTCAATATTGGCTATGTAGACGGTTTGAACCAGGGGTTCAAATATCGAGCTGTTGACGCTGCTCACTACACCCCTTTATTTAGCCACAATGGTAGATGTTCCCGAGCTAGCATGAAAAATCAAGTTCGTGGAGCATCGGCCAGTGTAACTCGCTTCACTACAGGCGCAGTTGAATTGGTAGATACAATTACAAGTGGCTAGCTAGTCTAAGTACTTCATCTTTCAATTGAAGAATCACCAGCGGTCGTCCAGAAAATCAGACTTGTAATATACCAGCATTAAACGTTCATTGAACTGGTTTTGCTTGAATTCTTCGTGATGATTTCACTCGGTACATCACCCCTGAATTGCAGTCGTTATGTATAAAGTATTAGAAGTCAATCTGAACGAAGAATATTCTGTCCAATAATTTGTTGTCGTTACAATAATGCCCAGTTAGTTATGGGGTGTCAAAATAAATAATCGTATATTGTGTGACAAACGTGCTAGTTGGCTGAAATCGATTACAAAATATTTTGGTAAAATGGATGACAATGGCTGTGATTAGTCATAATAATAGATTTGTAGAGCATGGGGTAGGAGAAATTGACAAATCAGTTCAAGGTTATAAAAGGTGTCAGGTAAGTGGCGAGTACAAAGACTGCAATGCGAGGTGGTTCATAATGAGATAACGAATACATGAAATCAAACAGGTGAAGGCATCATATATTGAGAAAAGAGATAATATCATCACTAATAATAAGTCCGGATATTATAAGTGGAAAATTCGATAGTATCGAGAGAATGTTTACATGAAGGGCATAAGTAATGACGAATAATAAGGGTAAGAAGCACTCTTAGTGATAAGAAGAAAAGTCATTAATCCAAGTTTGGCCACCTTAGGAGCAGCGTCTGGACGTGCTCTATTTTTGGATGCTAAGTTCTGGTTTAGTCGATCTTATTGCAACAGCGAACTGTACGTGATAACGACTTCGAAATTTGGTGTATATAACCCTGAAGCTGTGCGTATACAGACTTCTTGTTAACTCATGGTGACTTTCATGTTACTGTTAAAGTCGAAAAAGTTGCCACGATCAGTTTTGATCACCTATACCCGATAATATTATTTCTTGTTTTAGCTGTTTTGCCATTAGAGCTCCTTTTAGCAGATATCTCTATGTCGTACATTGAGAGTTTATCGGAGGATTTAATCGAAAATGTACCTGCCACTTTAAAGAAGGTATGTAGATGATATTGTAATCATCAGTGATAAGCCTTGTTCAGCCACATCAATTTTAAATCGAATAAATGAAGTTCAGAATGGCATACCACTTACGCCTGTTCATCTTTCCTAGATATATTGCTTGGTTGACGGCTTGATGGATCAATAAAATAATGTATTTATAGAAACCCTACCTGGACAGGAGAGTATCTTAACTATCACAGTTTCTGTCCTGTTCGGTACAAAAGAGCCTTAGTCAGCGAGGTGCCTCTTCAGTAGAATCCAACGAATATGCATGCACCGAAGACAGACACACTTGATGAAGAAGAAAGAAAGTTGATACAATCTCTGGTTGATAATAATTATCCGGGCAAGTTCATCAGGAGATATATGGTAGTCATGGGAACACCGAGACCCATTATTCAGTTTGCCGTTAAGAAAAACATGTAAACCAATCTACCCTATATATGGGGCATCATAACAGCTTGATAACTAAACAAGGATTGAATGCTGATGTGGCTAAAAAGACTTTTAATGCAGCTAATATCATAATAATTGAGAATGTGAAGCCAATATATCCATCCATCAAAGCTCTTTGAACATGCCAAAAATGATGTCACATCCCATTGTATTTACCAGTTTGAATATACATACGTGTGGCCCCATATACACACAGGGAGGATTCATCGATCTCTGAAATTAAGGGTTGGTTTCAGAGCATACTTCTTAATGTCTCCAGAATCTATTATTGGTGAGAACAGGAGTCGTACCTGCTGTATTGCGAAACGTGTTCGGGGCGTATCCTAAAGTTTATGGAAGCCCTAGCTGTCAGTTAACAAGTCTAAACCACCTTTAAACCACCACGTTCAAAGCAGCAATTCGTTATCACACTAAACCTGCCATCCTTGGTAAACCTTGTTTTGATATCGGTGAGGGCAGATGTACTATTACCTCTGACCTTCAATATGTCCTTTTAACTTGACCTAACTGTCTATTTTCTCGCTCCCTTAACTCTTTATTAACCTCACATTATATGTATTCCTATGACAAGCCAGTGTGTGTGTGTGTGTCATTAGATTGTTCGAAATGTGTAGCGCAAATACACACACTAGACAATTCAGAAAAATTACGTCTTCCTTCTTATTGCTTTGTCTGTCTGAATTCATAAAAGCAACTAATTGTTTTTGGTTTTATTGAGTAAGTTGGATGCAGTCATATTACACCAAATGTTGAAAATTTCACACTATAGCATAAATATAGTTTTTGGAATAAAGCAAATTATTATCTGCAATGATTCTCCTGATTGCGTTGTATTGGATAATGTGGCAGACGGCGGTGGGAAGCAAGGAAACAGGCATAACATGAACCCACACAAAACAAACTTGGAGGATCTAGACTTCGCCAATGACATATATATGTCTGATTCTTCACAAACTGGAAGATATGCAAGTGATGAAAAGCAACTAGTCGGCCGTAGAAGAAGCATCCAGAGAAGAGAGGACTTCTTTCAGGTGAACACAGAAAAAATAGAGATGATGAGGATTCCTGGCCAACAACAACAACAACATCAGCAACAACAACCGACAAAAATCAGCCAGAATAAATGATAGGAACCTGAAAGAAGCAATCTCCTTCACCTAACCACCTGCCCACCTACATTGGAAGCATCATTTTAGCTACAAGCCGATAGAACTGATGAGGATATCATCAAAGCGAGGATTGAGAAAGAAAAGCAAACCTTCACTGCTCTCAAGTCTGTGTGTGGAGATCAACACTGCACTCAGAATGAAAATGGAAATAACATCCAGATTTTCAACTCCAATATGAAGTCAGTTCTACCTACTATACGCACGTATCAGAGACTCGGCGCCACGCAACCCCACTTCGAACAAACCAGGAACCTACGTCAATAGCTGTCTCTGCTGAATACCACTCAAGATCAGATGGTCGACCAGAAAAGATCAGAAACAGAGTATGATCTCTGGGAGCTAAACAACCAACCCAGCAGAAACCGACTGTGCAACAAATATGCAGGAAGAAATGCAGGTAGTGGATTGGTCATACTCTTAGAAAACAAACCATCAAGTGACATTACACACCACGCCATAGCTCAAATAGAACCCGAATGGGAAGCAGCAAGTTAGTTGGTCATCAGTGTGAGGGTAACATGGAGGATGTCATGTGAAGAGGAGATGAAGGCATGTGGGTGGCAGACATGAAGCCAGGCGGTGAAAACATTGGCAGAGAACCGAACGCAATGGAGACATTCGGCGGAAGCCCTACGTTCCTCTAGAAATTAAAGGGAACAGTAATAATTATATACATATATATTACTGATAATTAAATTATATTCAATGCACCCGCCCCACGCCGCCCCGCCCACAGTGCTCAAATATATATGTAAATATATACACTATTCTCTCTTCTCTGATTGGTTAATGTAGTTTAGATTTCTCAGAATGGTTGATTTCTACTCACTTTATCTCTGCCTGAACACGCCAACACACTGAGAAGTCATATATACACATACATACATACATACACACACACAAAATAGAAAACATAACGTGTGAATAAATCAGTTGAAGACGAGAAGTGAGATAGATAGAAAAGCCCAATCATTAACTTTATTATTATTATTATCATTATTATTACCTTTCTCAGTCGGAGTATCACTACACAACCACTTCTTCTGCTATTTATTGCTCACCACATTTCAGATTACATGATTTAACTTTTCACTCTGTGTGTACATATCATCTGCAAGTGTTGTTTGTGTGTCCCTGAGAAGTCTCTCTATCTATCCGTCTATCTATCTATTACATAATCAACAACATATTATGATGATTTGTATATATTAACTTGTTTATTACGCAATACACAAACAAATTCAACATTAAATGAGGAGTGTTCACTAATTGACTCAGGAAGAAAAAATAAAACCGCCCACGAATTCTCTTTCCCAAAATATTTCAACGGATTATCCCTACTATTACACTATAATATCATCAATTACTATAATTATTACTAATATTATTATTACTACCATTTGAAATATTCAAAAGAGGGGACGAAAAAGGATTATACGTTCTACGCATCAAATTTTAGTATTGTTATTTGTCAAATTAAATGGGTTCAGGTAAGTACAATTTTCTCTCCCGAAATATATATATATATATTATAATTTCCTTTAATTCCTAGAGGAACATAGGGCTTCAGCCAAACATCTCCATTGAATTCGGTTCTCTGCCAACGTTTTCACCGCCTGGCTCTAGCTCTGCTCAAATTCTTTCATCTCCTATTCACATGACCGTCTCCATGACACCCTTGCACCGACGACCAACTCGTCGATGCTTTTTTGAGTTCCACTCGAGCAATGACTTGTCTAGTGATACCATTTGATGATGGTTTGTTTTCTCAGAGTATGACCAACCAACCTTCATTTCTTCTTACTTATTTGTTGCACAATCGGTTCCTAGTTGGTCCGCTGCCAGAGATCCCACCCTGTTGCTGACGTTTTTTCGCCGGCCATCTGATCCGTACGTATAGTGAGTTACATTCACTCTACATTAAAGTTGAAAATCTGGATTTTATTTTCATTTTCATGCTGAGTGCAGTGGTGACCTCCACACAGACTTGAGAGTAATGAAAGCTTGTCTTACTTTCCAGATCCTTGGTGCTTTAATATCCTCATCGCCTCCGTCCACCTGTAGTTGTAGGTGGATCAGGTTGCTCCTTTCAGATTCCTCCTATTTATGCTGGCTGATTGTTGTCTGTTTTTGTTGTTGTTGTTGTTGGCCAGGAATCTTCATCACCTCTATTTTCTCTATGTTCCCCTGAAGTCCTGGCTATCTTTGACGATTCTTCTATCACCGACTAGTCGCTTTTCATCACTTGCATATCTTCCAGTTTGTGAGAAATCAGGCATATACATGTCATTGGTGAAGTCTAAATCCTCCAAGTTTGTTTTTGTGTGAGTCCATTTTATGCGTGTCTCCTCGTTTCCCGGCCCGCTTTCTGTCGCATTATCCAATCTACCGGAATCAGGAAAATCATTGACGATAGTAGGCAGCCTTGTCTTACTCCCGTCTTTACTTTTTCGAAGGATTCCGTATGTTTCCCGTTGTGGATTACTTGGCATGCAGCATTGTCGTATAGCTGTTGGATGATATATATTTATAAATGCCGTTCCTGGGGGTTCCAAGTGGAGCATACAACATCAACAACACCTTTTTATTTCATTCTGTACTCTATATTCCTCTTCAGCTGATTACACGATTGTTCATAAGCCCTCATCTTCTTTACACACTGTTTGCTTTATTTTACCTTTAGATTCAGACTTAACCCTTCGTTATATATGTCCAAACCAAGTTCACTTTTAACGGTTTGAAAAAATTTGGGCATTGGGTATATGATATTCATTATAATAGAGGTTTTTTGTATTTCCCAATGAATGAAAATCTCGTTTTGTTTTTTCATTCATTGGGAAATACAAAAAACCTCTATTATAATTAACCCTTCGTTCCCCATTCGAGTTTCATTCGAGGGGCCCTCTGGAGCATGATTTCAATTAACGGTCTCCTTAGCATGTGTGTGTGTGTGTTCAATGCATCTTCATTTCATTTCGTCTATTTTTTAGGCAATATGTTCTTCACTGATTCGTAGCCTGATAGAATTCCTTGACTAGATGATTACTATCTAACCCTCAGTATACATCCAACGAAGGCAATTGCTAATAAAGGTCTTCAGTAGCGGTCTGTTAGCAAATGCTTTCTGTGATATGCACGCTAGCTTATCAAATGCTTTTTACTGCCTGTAATTCAAACGAAACTGTCACGATAAGTGGAAGATAAAGTGACTCTATTTGAATTACTCCTGTTGATGATATTTGATTGGTGCTTGCCTTTTTTTGCTTACAATCGCGAGTTTCATCAGTAATTGATAATAAGATGGATTCTTGATGTCCATTTAATCCCTGATTTGAGTCTCGTACTGTGTAGACTTGCTCATAATTTAGATAAGAGTTAGAACACAGGCTAATCCAGACGTTAATGGAAGACAAAACACATGTAGTTCAGTGAATAGTCTCTTTTCGGCGGTGATTTCATTCTCCTCTTTAGCTGTACAATCACAATTATATAAATACTCTCACTTTTGTATTTGTGTGTAGTTTGGGTTTGTCTGATTATTATTTTTGTTTCCTGTAATTCCTAGAAGAACATAGGGCTTCAGCCGAACATCTCCATTGCATCTGGTTCTCTGCCAACGTTTTCATCACCTTGCTTCACGTCTGCTGCCCACATGATTTCATCTCCTGTTCTCACGACCTCCTACTCCTTGTCAACTTCACACTGACGACAAAATAACTCGCCGCTTCCCTTTCAAAAATTCCAATCGAGCAATGGCCTGGCGTGTGATGGATGTCACTTGATAAGTGTTTATTTTTCAGAGTATAGCCAGCCAATTCATCACCTCCACTTTTTCCTGCATATTTGTGGCAAAATCGATTTCCGCAGGGTTGGTTCGTTCATTGCCAGAGATCCCTCTGTGTTGCTGGCCGTTTCTGGCCCACCATCTGATCTCCAGTAGTATTGAGCGAAGACACCTAGGTGTTGACGAAGGTGTATAGTTTGTTCGTAATGGCCGTTGTGACACGGCGTGGCATCAAGTCTCTAATCCGTACATATAGTAGGTAACACTGACTGACTTCGCATTGGATTTGAAAAACTGGATCTTATTTACATCTTCATGCTCAGTGATATTGATCTCCACACAGACTTGAGAGTAATGAAAGCTTATCTTACTTTCCTGATCATTGCCTTGATGATATCCTCATGAGTTCCATCCGCCTATAGTTGAAACGATGTTTCCCAGGTAGGTGAGCAGGTGGGTAGGTGAAGGAGGTTGCTTCGTTCAGACTCCTCCCATTTATGCTGGCTGATTGTTGTCTGTTTTCGTTGTTGGCCAGGAATCTTCATCACCTCTGTTTCCTCTATGTTCCCCTGAAGTCCTGGCTATCTTTGACGATTCTTCTATCACCAACTTGTTGCTTTTCATCGCTTGCGTGTCTTCCAGTTTGTAAGAAATCAGACACATCTGTTACTTGCGAAGTCTAGATCCTCCAAGATTTTGTATGGGCCCATTTTATGCCTGTCTCCTTGCTTCTCGCCGCTCTCTGTCGCAATATCCAGTCTGATATGAATAGAAATATGTTAGGGTTATTGCTGTCAAGACATTTTATAAACGTGATGAATAATCAATAATGTAACAAGGGTGGTGGGGATAAAGGTTATTGGTAAGAGGGCAGTGGTGATGTGTTGTCAGAAAAAAAACGTAGTTATTACTATTGATCAACACATAAAAGAAGTTGGATAAGCGTAATACAGTTACGTAATAAGATGAATAGTTTAATAAGTGAGTGAGTTGTGATTAGGATGCACATAGAAACAAAAGAAAATATGGTATTATGTAAGAGTTTTAAAAATTACAAATATTATAAGGAGTTGGAAAACCAAACGAACGAGCACACAAAATGTCAAGTTAGTAGAAGTCAACACGTCTGTTACCATGACAGTAGAACATGACTGGCTAATTTAGCTTTTGTTCACATAACTCTGGTTTCTTTAACTGGATGGCTAAGGCTTCAGCAGTACAAACGAGATGGAAATGTATTGCCTTTGGTAGGTTGTTCTTAATTTAGTAGATCACTTTGAAGTAGGAGGCGTTTGTTAAGATGGAATCACCTGTGTTGACAAGGTATTCGATTGTAGTACTCCGTATGGAGCCACTACCACCATGTTTACAGCCGTGCAGGATAATGTTCTTGAACACTTTAGGATAAAATACGCATTGTACGGCAAGTGTACCTGACTGGCTCTACTAGTGTATACATACAGAAGTGGACAGATGCACATTCTTGTCCTTAGGGATTCTGCAGACCACTGGAAGACTGGAGAACACTATTCTTAGGCGTTGCTGCAAAGAATGTTCTTTTCAAAGATCCTGAAATGTTTCTCTGGATCTTTGGTTAGATATTCTTGTCGATGATTTTTGGCGGGTATCCATTTCAGATGAAGATTCCCTTAAAAAGATTCAGCTCTGCTTCCAGAACTTCAGATGCATTCTGACCAGAGTGGCAAGTGATAGAATTACATTTCGCTTCCAATCAATAAGTACTCAACTGTAGAAATTTGTTAATTGATCGTTTGAAGTGAGTTTTCTATGGAATGACTGATCTTCTGAAAGCTCCTTCGGGTCATCTTGTTTATTGCTCATCGATTCACAATTTGAATACTCGTCACATTTTTTTGAAATGTCTTGACAACCATACCGGACTAACCCAGTGTACACACACACACAGAATTAAGTACATCCATTTGTGACTGTACAGGTAAGGAGGAGAATGAAATCGCCACCAAATAGAGACTATTCGCTGTTCTACGTGATCTGTTTTCATTAATTTTTGATTCGTCAATTTATGGCTTCATTTTCTGAGGGCTTGATAAATAAAAAGATCTAAAACAATTTGTTCCCTTTATGAATTTAGACAGACAAAGCAATAAGAAGACGTAATTTGTCTTAATCGTGTAATGTATTTCCGCGCGTACAACACATTTCGAACAGTCTGAGAAAATAGACTTAGGTCAAGTTATAAGGACATATTGAAGGTCAAAATAACAAGGAAGATCAATCACTAAGCCAAATAACATAGGTAAGAGTACATTTACCCTGACTGGTATCAAAACAAAGTTTACCAAGGACGGTAGGTCCAGTGTGATGGCGAATTGTTGCTTTGAAAGCATAAGGGTGGTTTAAATTTGTTAATTGGCAGCTACACCTTCTACAAACGCCCTCCCGCAAACAAGTTTTCTAAATAGGTTTAAAAGACGTGTTAATGTCAATTCCATGTTCTGTCTCTATAATATGTTTGACAATAGAGGAGCAATGTCGTCGTCTGTTCTCACCATTAATGCGTTATGGGGATTCTATTCGCTTCTGGAGTGATTTAGGAATATGCTGTGAATCGAGCACTTACTTGCAGAGATCGATGAGTCCTCGCTACGTATGTGTGTCCACATGTACGTTCAAACTGGTAAATAAAAGATCATCGTTTTCCTCAGTCTGTGGCTTATGTGTATG